CTTTGAAAATATACAAATCATTTCTCACTCAGACTATACAAAAGAAGGTCACAGGCTGTAGCTTGCCAACACCTGGACAATAGGTAAAATAGAATCCTTTGGAAGATACTGGAACTTAGTTGGGAATGAGGTAGCCTCCAAAGAAAACGTGAATGATGTATCTTGGTTTGGACACTAAGCACTACATAAGTGACAGTCTTTGGACTGGACCATGAGGTCAAAGGTTAGGGGGAGGGGTATTACCCGCTTCTGCTGCTCCAAGAGCTCATGTTCCTTCAATGAATGATCTCCCTGCTTAAAAGAGAAAACAAGCTCATACCAGCACCAATATCCCCCAGGCCAATCAGCCACAACTCTTGCTACCTGGGGTCCTATTCCAGCCTAAGACCTATGCTCTAGTCTTTGGTCCAGATCTTCCCAAATGTGGCCCCAGGTTCATCCAGCTTTCTGAGGCTCCACTCCCCCTTCAGGGACCTAATGAGGCTCAGGTGCAGGCATCCACCTGCCTACCTGCTTGGCACGTTCTTCTTGTTGCATCAGCAATGCTGCCTGCTGCTGCGCCAGCTTCAGCCGCTCCTCTTCGGACAGTGCCACAGGCTCACCCACACGAAGAGGAGGCGGGGGCCCCAAATTTGGTGGGTGAGCCATAGGAAAGCCCAGGCCAAGGCCTGGTGGAGGTGGTGGGGGCGGTGGAGGAGGCTGCAGAGGAGGGAGTCCCATGGGTGGCGGCGGCATGGGAATCCCAGAAAGCTGTAGAGAAAATACAACCATAAGCTAAGAAACATTTACCTATTCAAGCTTCAAACATTTGCAGGGGCTCTACCATGAACCAGGTGCTGAGATTCAAAGTCAAATTATACATGATTCCAAAAGAGAATGCTCAACAACAATACCGAGCTAACTTTGGAGCAACAACCAAAGTAAGGTATTGACACTCTTCCCAGAAAAGTATCATAAACACAGATTTTTTTCATTCCACTTCAGGAGGCTCAGGGACACCTCTAAAAACCATCTAGGGACTCCTCACTCCACAGTCAAATAGCAATAAATTCCAGGTCAGAACCACATCTTTATAGAAAAAGTAACAAATTCTAGACCAGAAGGGACATGAAAATCGAAAAGACTTAAATAAATAGGAACTACTGTGCCAGGCCACTGCAAACCCCAAGACTTAGTAAACGCAGGGAGTACAACATCAAATGAGTTAGCCCTCAATGTCTCTAAATAACATGGGAGCTATGGCTGAGGGAGCAAAGAATGTAATTATTTCCAGCTGGGCGAGAATTAAGTTAGGTTTCCAGGTAACAAAGTTTAATCTTAAATGATAGAAAATTTAGAGGTGCACACATCAAAGGAGTTAAGTGTCAACAAAAAGAAGTTATCGCAGGACTTCCCTATCCAATCTGCTAGCTGCACCCTCAGTACAATGCATGTAAAATAAGGGTCTGCCTGGTGCATGAACGAGTCTATAAAGTGAAGCAATTTCCTTACCTGTGCAGACATGGGAGGGGGAGCGGCTTTGTCCCCATCCTCCCCTCTCAAAACCGGCCGACTGAGCACAATGCCAGTCTGCAGAAAAAGAAAACAGTGCTCTAGGTCAGTCCAAGAAGAGTTGTTCCACTAAAGGTAGTTCTCTCCCATTCATTGAACAACATTTTCCAAGCAGCTGTCAGCCTGGGTTTGGGCCGGGTACAGAAGCAATATGGATAGAAGCAGATTACAACAAAGCAGACAAAGGCAAGAAGAGGCGAAAAGACCAAGAGTTCTGCTCTCTGTGCCTAAGTACATAAAAAATAAAGACGGATCGGTGAACTGTCTTGAAGGCCTCCAGGAGAAGCTCGGCCTATGTAGAAGTACCGCCACCAACACTTACCTGGCGGGTGTAAGTCTGCAGGCGCTCCACCAGCTCCTCACGACTCCCTATGGGGTAAAGCAGAGGGTCAGTGGACCAGGCCAGCCAAACCAGGCCAGACCCTGGCGGCTTGTCTCCGCCTCCTGCTCCCGGGTCTCCCGGGTAACCAGGCTTCGCTTCACTGCTAGACCACGCAGTTTTCTCCTGACCTCCCATGCTCCTCACCCTGGATCGGAGCTCCAATTTCTGCCAACTTGGCCTGAAGTTCCTGGGCAGCCCAGGCGCCATAGTGGCCTGGAGGTGGCGGCGGAGGCAGCTGCAATTCTCCTTTGGGAGGCTCGGAATGCTCGGCCGCCATCTTGGTCTAAGGAAGGCGCACGACCGACCCGGAAGCTCGGGCCAGACCCCGGGTCTACTTCCCAGAACTTCCGGTAGCACCGCACGCCGGGTGGTGTGATTCGCCACAGACGCGCCGTGGGCAGCCTAGTTGTAAAGCCTGCTGGGAGTTGTAGTACGCGGGTCGCGGGCTCTCAGGTCCAAAGTCTGGAAGACCGAACCCGGCTATAGCATCCGAAACGCCGGCAGCAGGGCCGCGGGGAGAGCTGACCCTGCCCCGAGGGGACAGTTTCTGTGTCTCACCTGCCCAGGCGTCAGAGGCCCCGTTGCAAGTCCCCAGGAAGTCCTGAGAGACTCATTCCCCAGGAAGTCCTGAGAGACTCATTCCCCCGCGACCAAGCGGGAGATTGGAGCCGACGCCTGCGATAAAACAGTGTCTGATTGTCCGCCCGCCCACCCCCGGCCCAGGCATAGATGAATGGACTGAAAGGCGATCGGAGCTGTGAGAGGAACGGGCCCGCCCGGGCCGAGCTCCAGCTGCCGACCTGGGGGAAGGGCGACACTAAAGCCCCCTTTTTCCACCTTCCAAATTGGCTCAGATGTCTTCTCCATCAAGACTTCTTCTGCTTTCTTTTACTTTCTTGGAGCTTTCCTTTCCACCATTCCTTTTTAAATCTTTCTTGCCTTTTCTCTCCACCTTATTCCCCCAACTTCCTCCATGCCCAGCCCCCCCCCTTCCAAAAAAACCTGAGGAGGGGTTTGATCTGTTTCTGTCTAGCGAGTACCTGGTGTTCAAGAGGCGACTAATAAATGATGGAGGAGGGGAATAGATTTTGTATCTTTTTTTAGTCTTGAAAATAAACTCAGGCCAGGTGTGGTGGTGCACAACTGTAATCCCAGCACTTGGGAGACTGAGGCAGCAGGATCGCTGCAAGTTTGAGGCCACCCTGGGCTACAAAGTGAGTTCAAGGCCGGCCTGAACTACATAGTGAGATTCTGACTAAAAACAAATTTTAAAAAAAGAAAGAAAATAAACTCAGGACCTGCCTTGGGGCCAGAGGTGGGGATTCACAGGTGAACTTTTCCTGCCCAGCTTCCACTTCTCCCTGTCCTGCCTCACCAATCTCGTTTCTCTCTCTACATCTGCCACTAGCTCTGCCATCTCAAGGACAGCCTGTTTGAGTTTGTGTCTGTGTGAAGTAAAGAAGGGAGAAACAAGTGAGATTTTCTCAATTTCTGTCCATGTACCCTTCAGATCTTTTCTCTAGCCAGTCCCATTTCACCAGCTATCTCCAATGGAAACATACCTGGGAGCAGGGAAACAAGAATGGGGCATCTTATGCAGGGAGGAGAAGGTCTGAGAGACAGAGGAAAGGACTGGGGCAGGACAGGTTAGCTGCCATCCTATCCCTGATTTCTCTTTAATTCTACCCAAACCTTGACCTTTCCCTCTGCCATCACCATCACTACCCCTAGGCTTCTCCTCCTCCCACTCCCAGAGAGGAAGCCAAAGCCAGAAATGACAGGCACAGGAGAAAGAACAGTGGTATCTTTTCCTTCTGCTTGTCAGCCCACTCAGGCAGAACTATTTCTAACCCAAAAGCAGGCTCTTTCTGCTCCTGGTAACTGGAGAGCCCAGGGCAGGTCATCTGAGGCTAGAGGCCCCACACAGCCAGATTGTGCTGAGGCTGGGGTGGGGGTGGGGGTTCCTCTAAGGCAGAATAAACAAAGAGCTCATGGGTGAGAAGTTAATGTAGCTAGGGCCAGAAAGGGACACACCAATTGGGGCCTCATTTTATCATAGTAATTCTGGGATGTAGGCAAGGTATTCCTCACACACACATACCACCTCCACCACCAATTTGTGCAGAGGGGAAGATTGAAGGCCAAAGAGAAGCTGACATGCCCAAGGGGCAAAACTGGGGCACTTTCCCACTCCTGTCTCTTCCTTAACAAGGATCCTTACATGATACCTGCTTACTGTTTGTGGGGGCCTAGAAAGGAATACCCAGACCCTTTTTGTCCAGCAGGATCCTTGCCTTACCTGGCCCAGAGCAAAGGGGAAGTAGGGATCCCTGCCAGTCACAAGACCAGAGGTGGCGCTCCTGGTGTCTGGCATGGCTTTGAGAGGTGCTGCTGCCCAGCTTCCAAGGTTAAGAGTTAAGGACAAAGGAGTCTACACAGAACCTTCAGGTGTACAGCTGAAAGCAACAGAGCTCAGGGAGCTGCCTCTCAACTCTGGTTCCTAAGAACAGAACCAGAATTGAACTGGTGCAAGATACCTAGGTAGAGGCTGCAGTGTAAAGGAAGCTCTGGTCAGGAGTGAGCAGAGTGAGTGAGCAGCAGGAGGACAGGTTGGAAAGGAAGGGGTGGCAAGGGCACATGGAATGGACACAGTTGGAGCCTTTTCTGGTAGAGGTGGAAAGAGAAGGGGAGGAAAAGAGGAAGTAAGCATGTGGGTGCCTCTGAGTATAGCTGCATCTCTAACCCATCCTGGAAAAGGCTCCACCAGCCCAAGGATGACCAGTGCGGCCCAAGAATGCTCAGTAATGCCAGAGTATACAGGCACCTTTCCGGACTGTTTTCTTCTGGTGAGTGAAAGAAGGGAGCTGGCCACACTGGTACTCAGCTCTGCACGTTGCTGGAGGAAGATTCTCGCATCTAAAGATGCCACCCAGAGAGTGTTCACAGACAGTCCAAAAGCCAGAAAAGCCGGGGGGGGGGGCACCCACCCTCCCTTCCCAATCCTCCTCTCCCCCTCCCCTGCGCAGCCGGCCCCTGCCCCCGCCCCCGCCCCGCCTCCGGTGTGAGATGGGGGCAGGCGGCGGGCAGAGCCGAAAGGAGCTGAGCGAGCGGACGCCGACGCCACCTGATCCCATCCAAGCGCAGCTAGGCGATCGACCCAGCACTCTGTGCTCTGGGCCCCAGCGCCCTCAGACCCTTGCGGATTTCGGAACAAGGGGCCAGAGGGAGCGGGGAGTCACCCCTTACCGGGGTCAGAGGCTGAGCCCGCGCGTGAGGCGTGAGTACTGCAGTGGCCACTCTGTGGCTGGGGGGAAAGGGGGGTGGACCGCACGGGGATAGGGAACAAGGAGGAGGCGGGAAGGAAGAGTACTGTGGGGACCTGATTCCTGGAGACCGTAAGGAAGGGGCTCTCTGCTACCTCTGGGGAGAGGGACAGAACCGAGTAAGAGGGTGATTCTGGCCTATCTCCTGTGGTGACCAGATACTGGTGCCGGAATCCCTGGATGAGGCTGGAGTGAAATTGAGGGAATGGGGGATAAGGTGGGGATGGTAGTGATGGAGAAAGGAGAATGAAGGGAATTCAGAGCCAGCTGTGAAGTGGGGGTGGATGACAGGGAGAGGAGGCTGGGGGACGTGGTGCAGGCTTGGGTGGGGAGGAGGAAAAGAGGGAGGTGGAAAGATATTCGATCTCCTGGGCCACTAATGTGTTACCCCCTCTACCCTTGCTGCTTTTTCTCTGGGGCCCTGGGTCAGTTTCTCTCCCCCATGATCTGTGCCATCCCCCAGGTCAGGATGGAGTTTCCAGGTCATCAGGAGGTCAGTCCCAGTGGTCCAAGCCAGGGCACCTGCTCCTTTTAGTGTACTGGTGTCAGCCATGGAGCTCAAAGGGAACAGTGAGGGGCTCACCAGGTTGGAGGTGGAGGACATTCAAAGCTCTGGGCATTTATACCATTTCTTCTTTGGTTCCCTGGAGAAAAGAAAGCAATTTGCAAAACTGGGCAGCAGCCTGAGGTAGATTGTTTTGACTAAAATTAGCTCTGATATTCTGATGAGGTTGGCACCCTGACCTGCCTGGGATGACAGAGGGAACCTCTTTCTCTCTCTCTATGGAGAAGACACTGGGGAGTAGTCTGAAGACTCTTGCAGGCAAAAGCCAGGACCACTGCTCTAAAGCCTGGCCAAACAGCATTGCCACCCACCTGCATCAGCCTCAAGACCAGAGGAAAACCTGGCCCAGATGGCCCCTCCTGTCTCCCCTGCCCTAAGTTCATCTCCAAAAGGGGCATCTTGGATTGACCTGGCTGAGGTAGCCAGGTCTTCTCCAGTGTCCAAGTGGAACCCTCTCTCTGGACCTGGAATGTTTTGCCTGGCTGAATGCCCATCCAGAGGAGCCAGAGTTCCTGCTTTCAAATACCTGAAGGTCTGTCATGGAGAAAAATGTGCTGTGTGCTCTGGGAAAACAGTAGGAACCACCCAGCACAGAAGAGGATGGGGCACGTACAGGACCAGGGTGATCCCACTGTCCCAAGAAGAACTCTGTAACTGTGGAGGCTGCTCAGTAATGGACCAAGCTATATCCGGAGGTGATAAGCAACCTTCACTGAGAGAGGCCAAACAGACCCTGAGGACTGGGTGTGCAGAGAATTCCTACACTGATGATACCTATCCCCTGGCAGGCATCAAGCTGGGCTGGAGGTGACATCAGGCACCCCATCACCTTCTCTCTATGGCCAAGGAAAGGCCTGCTGTAGTTTCCCATAGTCTTGACCTCCTCTCAGCCGACTCTATTTCTTCTGAGAAATAGGGCAGTTTCAACAAGTTTAGCAAAGGTGGAAATAAATTTGCTCTTCATTTTGCCCCTTGGAAAACTCCCACCTGGTCACCAAATCCTCTAGGGAGGATGTATGACAAAGAGAAAGAGTTCATCATGGAAGGGCCAAGAGCTCTGACTTCCTTTTGGGGGCGGGGGGAGACCAGGGATTGAATTCAGGACTTTGCGCTTACCAGGCAGGCATGGTGCCACTGAGCTAAATCCCCAGGCCCTCTGACTTCCTCTTGCTGGCTGTTCTACCCAGGCTAAGCCAACCTTTCTCTGCCCCAGCAATCTTGGAAAATTCAGGCAGGGCCACAATGCTGCCTCTATTGTGCCCTTGGTTGTCCTCTGTGGCTGGACTCTTTACCCCCTTGGCTCCAGGAAGATTAGTCAGTCTGCAGGCTGGTAGAAAACCAGATGAGGGGCCTGGAGAGAAGGAGAAGCATAACCAGGACATCTTTTTGCCTAAACAGGTTTAAATGTAATCCAGGATTAATGGGGGGTGGAGGATAAAGAGAGATTGGAAGCCAAGAGTAGGTAGTGATCAGAGGGTTTTCACATTACCTCACCCCTCCTGGGACCCAGATGTTCTAGTTTCACATACACATGCCAACTAGGTTCCAGGCCCCCTCACCTTTGGAGAGGAGGTGTGTGTAAGGGCTGAAGCTGAACCTGAATCTGGACACATGCCCATGGGCAAAACAGAGACCAACTATAGCCTAGGGACAGGCATGACTGCTGAAAATGACTTTCTACCCAGGCTGCCAAAGGTTTGGGCTGCCCTTGAGCCAAGACATCCATTCGGGAAGGGGAGACTGGCCAGAAACCAGGCTCTTCTCCCACCTCTCGCTCCTGCCGCTCACCTGGGATGGAGGCTCACTTCTTGCTAGAGATTCTTAGCAGAGCAACAAGCAAGAGCCACCTCTGTATTCCCCACGCTCCTACCCTGACCCTTCCAGGCTGCCGTCGTGCCTTGGATAATCACCTCCACCAGTCAGCTGATGGGGCTGTCTATGTTTCAGGTTCCAGATAGGAGTCCAGAATTTCAAGTCCTTCTTTCCTCCTGGATTTATGAGTCCTAAGCCCTATAGGCAGGAGGCCATCCAGGAATGCTCAGCGTTGAGATGCATGCAGGATTGCCAGAATCAGGACAATGGTGGGGAAATCAGTCTTCTATGAAAACAGTATATCCAATGGCATGAACTTTGAGGCCTGAAAGAATAGGTCTGCGGTGCAGTTCAGCTGTCACCAGCTGTGTGACCACAGACAAGTGACATCACCTCTTAGAACCTCATTTTCCTCATCTATTAAATGGGAATACTACCTTTATTAGAGTGGTAATGAGTATTAAATGGGTTTAGTATGTAATAATATGGAACATACAGTAAGCCTGCAGAACTGATCCGAGACTCAAGGAAATGAAAGTCCGGCCCATGTTTCTGAGGAGCTCAGTCTTTGGGGAATCAAGGCCACCCCTTGGCTGAAGCAATCAGGCAAGTCTGGAAGGAGGGGAAACCTTGAACTGAGACTTCTGTACTGTAAGCCACATGCAAGTGCTAAGGCCAGCCTGCTATGGGAACAGATACAAATGGCCATGAGACAAAGACTAGTTAAGGACAAGCAGAAAAGGCAGAGACAGGCTCAAGGGACAGAGTGGCTGCAGTCTGAAGGCCTGGCCACACCCCAGGCCCTGTAATTCCACCCAAGACTAGCCTATCTGGAACAGTGAGAAGATAGGGCCTTGGTAACAGGAGGTATGAATCTGATCTGCTCTTGTCTCTCTACTCACCCCACTCACTGTAAGTTCTCCTTTGCAGCAGTCCTGCTAGGGCCTGGAGCCCATCTCCTCTGCCTCCTGCAAACCTGTCTGCCTCCTTCTCTTGCCAGGCTTCTCAGGAACCCTGGCCCTGCTACCAGAGCCCCAGGAGCCCCCATGAGTACTGGTAAAGGGAGTCCTGGATAGCAAGGCCCAGGGTGGTCTGGGGGTGGCGCTTCACCATGCCACCCATTCTCCAGCACCTCCAGCAGGCTACCAAGATGATGAGCCGCAGGAAGATACTGCTATTGGTGCTGGGGTGCAGCACCGTAAGCCTCCTCATCCACCAGGGGGCACAGCTCAGCTGGTAAGTGGTCAGGGCCACATGGAGGGGCAGGGCCCAGGGAAAGGAAATATGTTTGCCCAGAGCTGCCTTGGGTTAGCAACAGAACTGGCTGGTCCCCTTCCCATTCTTCCACCTGCAGGAGAAGCTCTACTGGGCTTTGTTCCTTCCCTTTATCCTGAAAGTACTTTCTATATGTGTCCTTGAGCAACACAAATAGGTACTGGTCTTCACTGAAAGGACTGACTTGCTCTAAGTCCGAGAGTTAGCTGGGATTCAAATCTAGCCTGAATCCTATTCACAGCATTGTGGCTAAGCACCTCCCCAGTGGACTGCAAACAACTTCTCATTACTTCATGTGTTGTATAATGCCCACTTCTCTGAGCCCTAGATTCTTCATCTACAAAATGAGAATGATTTGTGTGACCTGCTAGTCACCCTGATACAGGGTACCATGTGAACGTGGCCGCAGCTCCTGACTCTGTGAGCCCAAGTCACTGCACCTCTCAGGACCTCAACTTCTCCATTTTCTACATGGTCTTCCCCCTCGAGAATGGTGCTTGTTTTTGCCTGCCATTTTTTGTTTTTGTTTTGTTTTGGGAGGGGTCTTGCTATGCAGTTCAGGCTGGCCTTGAACTATGTAGCCCAGGCTGGGTTTGAAATCATGGCAGTCCTCCTGAGTGTTGGGATTACAGGCATGTGGCACCACCCCAGCTCCTGAGAATGGTGTGAAAGGGACTAATGTCCTTTTATAAATGACATGCTAGTTTTATAAGTGATTGTGCAGACATCCTCAGCCCAAACCACCCACAGAAAGGAAATCTCAATTATATTCTCAAAGCTGCTTAAAGTTGCCCTTATTACATGATGCTTAGGGAGAGAAGAAACAGGAGAGTGAACCAAAGCCTGCAGAGACCTTACAAGTCAGTAGTAATCCCAAACACTTGTTTTAGGAAGGAGGAACACAAATAAAAACTTCATGAGGGCTAGATTATCTGTTTTGTATACTATTGTATTTCTTGAGTTTTGAACAGTGCCTGACACGTGGTAGATGCTCAAAAAATGTTTGTTGAGGCCAGGGATTTAGCTCAGTGGCACCATACCTGCCTCGAAAGCGCAAGGTCCTGAGTTCAATCCCCAGTACAAAAAAAGTTTGTTGAATAAATGAGTGAGGCTCCAGACACCTTAACAGAAGCTTCATAAAGTGTTTTGCTGCAAAGCTTAGTGCAGCCTCCTGAAATGTGAAGAACCAATTAATGTGAAAAAAATCAGAAAGAAGACAAAGAATTGAGGATTTGATGACTCAGTTGTCTCCATTCCCCTCTGGTCTTTGTGTGTGGGGGGGGGGTTGGGGATCAAACCCAGGGTTGCACCACTAGAGTTACAGCCCCAGTCCTTTTTCTTCTTCTTCTTCTTTTATTTATTTATTTTTTTGGTTTTTGAGACAGGGTCATGCTATGTAGTCCAGGCTGGCCTTGAACTCACAGCAATCCTCCTACCTCAGCCTCCCAAGTTCTGGGCTCACAGGCGTATACCACACCTGGCACCAGTCATTTTTATTTTGTGAGAAGGTCTCATTAAGTTGCTCGGCCTGGCCTCAAACTTGGAATTCTCCTGCTTCAGCCTCCTGAGTATCTAGGATATAACAGGAATTCACCACCATGCCTGGCTCTCCTTTGATCTTCAGTTTCCACATCTGTAAAGTGAGAATCCTCAAGGATCTCCAAGGACCTTGGTCCCTTATCTATTTCTCCATAAATAAATGATCTTAAAACTTTAGCAGCTGGAAACAAGAAGTATTTATTTTCTCTGTTTCTGTGGGTCAGGAATCTAAGAGTAGTTTGCTAGGTAGCTCTGGTTCAAGGTCTTTCATGGATTTGCAAACAAGATGCTTGTCAGGGTTGCAGTCTCATTCAAGTCTTGATTGGAAGGGTTTCCCTTCCAAGTTCACTCACGTGATCTGGCAGTCTTCAGTTCTCCCAGCATGTTAATGGACCTGGCCCTTGGTTAACTGTGGGCTGGTCTCATGTGGTATGTCCCACATAGGGCCACCCACAATATGGCAACTTACTTCTCCCAATGTGAATTATCCTGGGGAAAGTGGAAAAATACCAAGGTGGAAGCCTTTTTCTGATATAATCTCAGAGGTGACATCCCATCATTTCCGTCCTATTTCTCAGGTGTGGCATTAAGTACTGCCACACTCAAGGGGAAGGGAATACACAAGAATGTAGCTATCAGGAGGCTAGTGGTGATTAAAGGGCTCATGTTAGAGGCTCCACCACCCCTCTACTGTTCCAAGGGTGACACATTCCAACATTCTTGGGGAGGGGTGAGGGTCAAGTTGCACCCTCTCACGCTCCTCTGGCACACTCCCTGGATCCTGCAGGTACCCCAAGCTGTTCCCCCTGAGCTGCCCTCCTCTGCGGGAGTCGCCACCACGCCCCAAGCACATGACAGTGGCCTTCCTGAAGACACATAAGACAGCGGGCACGACAGTGCAGAATATCCTGTTCCGCTTCGCCGAGCGCCACAACCTAACAGTGGCCCTGCCGCACCCGAGCTGCGAGCACCAGTTCTGCTACCCACGCAACTTTTCGGCGCACTTCGTGCACCCGGCCACGCGGCCACCGCACGTGTTGGCCAGCCACCTGCGCTTCGACCGCGCTGAGCTCGAGCGCCTCATGCCACCCGGCACGATCTACATCACCATCCTGCGCGAGCCGGCTGCCATGTTTGAGTCGCTCTTCAGCTACTACAACCAGTACTGCCCGGCCTTCCGGCGAGTGCCTAACGCGTCACTCGAGGCCTTCCTTCACGCGCCTGAGGCCTACTACCGGGCAGGTGAGCACTTCGCCATGTTCGCGCACAACACACTGGCCTACGACCTTGGCGGCGACAACGAGCGCAGCCCACGCGACGACGACGCCTACTTGGCAGGCCTCATCCGCCAAGTGGAGGAGGTCTTTTCGCTCGTCATGATAGCCGAGTACTTCGACGAGTCCCTAGTCCTGCTGCGGCGCCTGCTGGCCTGGGACCTGGACGACGTGCTCTACGCCAAGCTCAACGCGCGCGCCGCCAACTCGCGGCTGGCCGCCATTCCCGCGGCGTTGGCGCGGGCCGCGCGCGCCTGGAACGCGCTGGATGCCGGCCTCTATGACCACTTCAACGCCACCTTCTGGCGCCGCGTGGCGCGCGCCGGCCGCGCTTGCGTGGAGCGCGAGGCGCAGGAACTGCGTGAGGCCCGCCAGCGCCTGTTGCGCCGCTGTTTCGGCGATAAACCGGTGCTGCGGCCCGCCGCGCAGATCCGCACCAAACAGCTTCAGCCTTGGCAGCCCAGCCGCAAGGTGGACATCATGGGCTATGACCTGCCCGGCGGCGGCAGCGCTGGCCCAGCCCCCGAGGCCTGCATCAAGCTGGCCATGCCCGAGGTGCAGTATTCGAACTACCTGCTGCGCAAGCAGAAGCGCCGCGTCAGCACCCGACCCCGCCCTGAGCCCATCCTGGACAAACCACCCCCTAGACCCATCAGGGCACTGCCCCGAGGGCCCCAGGGCCCCTGAGCTCCACTTGCCTGCCAGATCCTGGCTCTTGTCTTGTCCTCCCAGGAGGAGGCTCCCTCCAGGTCTTGTCCCATCTGGACCCTTTCTTTCCCAGGGCCTTGAGCCCTCCACCGAAATTAGAAATATGTCTCTCCATGTGAACCGACCTCTCCAGCTTGGGCTGAATGCCACCTTCAGGGATGGTGCTGATATGCCCGATTGAGGCCTGGACCACCCTCTCCTTCCTAGCTAGTTGGTAACTTTAACAAGAGGTTTAAAGGCCTTCCAGGACTGACCACCTGCCTTTTTCTGGGGACTGAGCCCCCCAGCCCACCCCACAGTCTTTTCAAAGTAGTTTGCAAGAGCCAGAGAAAGGCTGAGCCCTGGGAAAAGGCGGTGCTTCCTGACAGAGTTGTGGGGCTCTCACTCTTCCCAGGGCTGTAGAAGCCCATACAGTCTTGTCTTCCAGATTCTACTCTCCCCACAGACCTAAGCTGCTCCCAGACTCCCAGAACCAAGAGTTCTTGGGTTGGGCTTTTTGTTTGGTTTTCCATTTTTTAATAAAACATCTTTAAATTGTGCAGGCTGTATGTCAGTCATTGAAAGACAGATTCCCCCCCCCCCCCCACCATTTGAGAACGATACAGATCTTCTGGCAGTGCTGTGGCTGTTGCTGTGAAGACAGCGACCCAGGCCTCAAGCTCCCAACTGCCCCTTCCAAAGGTCTGCAACCCTCTTTGATGAACAAACCTTGGCCACCTCAGCCCCATTTATTTTCCAAATAATTCCTTTCATTCAATTCAGCAACATTTACTGAACATCGTTGCTGTGATTTGGGGATGCAGGTAAACAAGTCAGAGAGTGCCTTTATCCTCACCAAGACACTGAAAAGAATAAAGTTATGGAAACAGGAAGGATTGTAGTGTTTACATAGCACTTCATTGACCTTGAGCAGTGCAGAGGCTGAATGGAGGATCATTTTTAGGTAAGGAGGTGCTTAACTCCAATTTTACTTCTTCCTGTGAGTGCCTGATCTCCCTACTGGCCTACCTTACCCACAAGGAGCTGCCTTACCCAGCTCTGACAGATAAGAACCAATCTTTTCCCCTAGTTTCCCTTAGCACAGCAAGAAATGCCACACTTTGAAATGAAATCTCTCAAGACTAGGAGAGAATTGGGACTTAGGTTACTTTCTTCAGAGCTACCTTGACGTATCTGGACAAGTAATAAAAATAATAGCTTATGTCGTCTACTATGTGCCAACCACTGTTTAAGGGCTTTGCGTGTATTAACTAATGAGACAGGCAAATCAGGGAACTGCAACTTAGAGAGGTTAAGTGATGTCAAGATCACTCAACTAGAAAGTGGTTATGATGATTTGCACCCAGACTGTAGCTTCAGAGTCTACATTTGTAAGTGCCATCCATAGTACCACTCAAATAAAGAAGGTCACATGCCACAGGATAGGCAAGCTCTCCAGACCTCCCAAAAGAATATAAAATGAAGAACCAAGATGCTGTCAGCTCCTATCATATTTCAGAAACGATTGATCTGTTTGGGCAATGAAGATTGCAATTGTTGGTTGGTAGGTTGTATAACATTATATCTTAATCCATTTTTTGTTGCTATAACAAAATACCCGATTTCCAAGGAAGGTTTATTTTGGCTCAGGGTTTTGGAGGCTGGGAGCATGGCACCACCATCTGCTTGGGTTCTGCTTGACTTCTGGTAAGGGCCTCATGATGGGAGGGCAGGTGGCACAGGCTGTAGAGGAACAGACAAAACATAAAGATGGCCTTGCTTTATCACAACATACTTGTGAGAACTAATCCTGTCCCCAAGAGCAAGAACACACACCCATGACAAAGGCATTAATTCCTCAACAATTTAGTCACCTCTGAAAGGGCCCACCACCTCAACACTGTTACCTTGAGGACCAAATTTCAACATGGGTTTGGAAGGGACAGGCCACATTTAAACCATAACATACTCCCTGGGCTCAAAGGGGGATGTTTGTATAGCACCCCACTTTTTCCTGCTGGAACTCTGGAAAAGGCAGTAATTAGAGTTATGTAAAACCATAATTTGGTTTCTGACACCAAACAACAGTAGAATATTGGCTAGACTTAAACTCTATCCTCTGGCTTCCAGGCCTAGAAAGTTTCTACTACTTTAACCCCCACTTTTTCCTCTAGCACTACCCTCTGACCATACCTCTGCCAGTAACATCCTTTACCCTACCCTGACCCTTGATAGGCCTCTCCTACCCTCCCTGGCCCTTAGGCAGGTAAGTACTGTACATTGCCCTACTTCAGCAGAGAGCACAACTCTAGATTTAGAAATATCTGCATTCAGGGGTTGGGGATTTAGCTCAGTGGTGTCCCGCCTGCCTTGAAAGCACAAAGTCTTGAGTTCAATTCCCGGTATATATGAAAAAAGAAACATCTGTATTCAGGAACTAACAGAATCATCAGAAAGTAGGGGAGGGGTTCTCTGCCTGACTGACCCGGGGGCCAGGGCAGACCCTGAGGTGAGCAGGGGCTATGGGACTCCTTGGCACAAATATCTCCGGCATCAGCCACAACCCAGGAGACAGGGCCACCCTCTGGGCCCCAGTGTCCTACTGCAAGTCTTTCACCAACACACACTTGGAGCTGTTCTCTCCGTGCTTCACCTGCACAGTTCTAGAGCTTTGGCAGTGGTGAAATGCAGCTCCTGCCTTAAGGAGCTTTCCCTAAGGGCTAGAGCAGATACAGAACCAGCCACTGGGTGGCAAGAACTCAATGGAAATGTTTTGCCTGGTGATTAACCATCAGTGCTCTGGAGTTCAAATACTGGGCCTTTCACCTATATATTTGAACTTGCCCTTTGAGCCTGACTTTCCTCCTCTGTGAAATAAAGTTTCCTACATGAGGCTTTGGGAGCAGTATTTGAGATAAGATACCTAGCATAGTCCCTGACATACAGGAGAGATTACCTGGTGCCACCTGCCACATCTGCATTGGCAACACCAATATGTGTGTTGAGGTGCAGAGGCTGCAGATGGAAGCTCTCATATCATTGTAGGTCCCTTTGGCTGTGTGTTTGATAAGCTTAACTAGAGACACCTGTCTCCAAAATATATCAAGATGTTTGAGTTGGATAAACCTAATGAAATGTGAAACTGTGGATCCAAGGACTGGATCTATGACGTATTCCAAAACTTTAACAGCAATGCCTAGGTGGTTTTTCCATCAGCTATAACACCTTTCAATGTGCTTGGGATAACCAAGCAGTTCATGGAGGACTCCATTTGGATTCTTGTCAAGAAGGAAGAGTTGACCCTGGAGAGTCCCACCAATTCTACATCATTTGGAATGAGAGGTGTAGAAGCCGGACATTGTGTAAGTTGGAAGCAACCCTGACTATCCCCCATACAATCCTCTTCATTGACACTGGAAGAAGCGTTGACTGGCTCTCTGAGAAGATGCAAGCCCAAGATCTCACTGTCTCTGCCACGCCTAGGGCCAAAATGAAAGAGTTGTGCCTGAGAGAGCTCTGTTCTGGCTGAAGCAGAGTCCTGATTACCACTGGCCAGAGGCACCAATGCACAGATTTCTTTAGCCATCAACCATGACTGTCTCACCAACAGGGAATACTGTATCCATAGAATCAGCCATGGCAGACATTTTGGCCATAAGGATATTGCAGGCAGGAGGGCTCTTGGAGATTCTGAGACCTTCTACAACACCTCCATTGGGCCGGGGATTTAGCTCAGTGGTTTCACCGCCTGCTGCGCAAGTGCAAGGACCCAAGTTTGATCCCTGGTACCAAAAAATAAAAGTTCCATACAACACCTCCACTGAGGAGATGCCTTTTGTGTTGCTGACCTCATCTGACAAGTACTGTCCTGCTACCTAGTCTGGCCAGGGTTCAATAATGGACCTTGAGGAGCAGCAGGAAAGAAAAGGGAAGAGAACCAAGGGATGGACATCTTGTCATTTTTCTTCCCTTTGAAAATTCTTTGAGTAAATGTCACATTTTAAGGCCAAAAAAAGGAACTGTGAACATTTTGGACATCTTTTATTTTGGCATAGGCTCTTGCCTAAAATGCTATCTCTTCTCTCCAAAAGCACTAATCCATTTCCCTCATCTAGTTACCTCCTAGTCCCAAAGGTGCCCCTGCCCCAAGAATTTTCAGTTCCTCTGAAAATAATCCAAAAGGCTATCATATCACTCAACTTCATTGGCCTGACCAAATCTGAAGGGAAATTATATGGAATTTAAAAGGGAGGCTGCGGACATAGCTCAGTCATAAAGCACTTGCCTGACATGTGCAAAGCCCTGGGCGCAATCTGGGCACTGCCACAGAGAGACAGAGAGAGAGACAGAGACAGAGAGACACAGACAGACAAACAGAGAGAGGAAAGGAAGGAAGAAAGGGAGAAAGAGGAAGAGAGGAAAGAGAAGGAAGGAAGGAAGGAAGGAAGGAAGGAAAAAGTGGGAGGGAGGGAAAGAGAGAGAGAGAAAAGAAGGATAGGGAGAAGAGGTGGAGGAGGAGTAGGGAGGAGGACGTTCCAATTATTCTACAGTGGACTCTGGGGTAAGTGGAGTGACCAGAGATGAGCAGCAAGCAAGGCTGCTCACAGAGCTGAGTGACTCCTGTCCCAGGCCCACTGTGGCCATTACTGGGAGGCACTGCACAGTGGTACCCGGGTGGAGGTCTCTGATGCAGACAATGAACTGTGGTAGTCAGGAGAATGGCCTTGAAGAGAACCTACAGATGCTGTTGGAAACAGGCACAGGTTAAGAAGAACCATGACACTAGCTACCATTTATTGAGCATTTTATTGTGTGTGGTGGATGGTCTTTGTATGTAATGTGTTCGTTTTTGTTCTCAGTATTGAGGATTGAACCCAGGGCCTTTCCACTAAGCTGTGTCTTCAGCCCTTTTTATTTTTAATAGGAGACAGGATCTTGCTAAGTTGCTGACTTTCCTAATCTGGGCATGAACTTGCAATCCTCCTGTCTCAGCCTCCTAGTGCTGTGATTATAGGCATGTGCCACCATGCCCATTACACTTCATGTATTTCAACATATTTAAATCTTACAACCTATGAGTTAGGTATATTCTTACCTCCTTTTCAGAAAAGGAAAATGAGGTACAGAAAGGTGAAAGTGCCCTAGCTCACCCAGCAGGGAAAAGCTAAGCTAGGACAGAAACCAGAGTGCTCAGCCATCCAAAGCTGGTTTCCACCATGGGAATACAGTCCCTGCAGCCTCCTTATTAAAGAGTGGCTTACAAAGGCCTCCTGAGAGTGCCCTTGAGTGGGAGGGATGGGCAGGGAGCCCAGGGCTTGGGGAGCCTAGGGTAGGGCAGAGCACAGAGAGAGAAGCTGGTGATCTGCCAACACAACTGGGCCACTTCCCAGAATAGAGATGGAGAGGGACTGCAGGCCTGGGAGGGGGGTGCTGAGGAAAGGTGCTACCCTCAGCCCTCTCCAGATGGGGAGAGAAAGGGATGAGGGAGAGGGCACAGCAGACTTCACAGCAACTTCAAAGACTCTGAATTAACTCCTCTGGCCCAGCAGGGCTACAGAAA